GATACTAACTTCTTGTACTTCTAAAAAGAAGTAAGAAGACCTTTTCTTGTATTTGTGTAATCTTCTCCAGCTTCTTATTTTACCATATATGTAATTTTGTAATTATTTCAAACTTATGTAGAGTCCGTTGTCTTTATAACCATCTAGTTCCTGATGAATGTTTGTTTCTTTATTTCACCTGCCTTTTACTATGATCTAACAGGATTCCTAATTTTAAATGATTTATGTCTTGGTTTTTCTTCATTTCCTTTTTTTTTATAATAAATTATCTTCAAACTCTTTGAGTTGTCTAAATTCTTAATACAACACAGTATTTTAAATAGAGTATAGTTTTTTTCTTACTTTAAAAATTATAATTAGGAATAGTAAATTCCAGATGAATGGAAAAGCACTCTTTGGTTTTTATTGTCTCATAAAGTTCATTTTACCCTATGCCTTTTCATTCTACTGTATGAATAAGGATGCTGATATACATCTCAATGTTACATATATCTGTATTTCAATTTATCATAGTATACCTTTGCATAAAAAATAAATTTTGCTAATTTTGAAGTCTTGTGACTTTTACTGCATTTAAGTTTTTGAGTGTTTTGTTTTTAATTGTAATATTAATGGCTTTATTTGCCATAGATTCATTTATTTTTAGGTAACTATAAGATTTATTTTTAGCACTTAAAAATGAAAGAACTATGAGCTATTGTTAGACATGACTGAAATCTGACTTTTCCAGTACTGTGGTTGGATTAAATTAGCATTGTGAAGTTTAAGAGAAAATTTTGTTATTTTTCTGGACCTATGTGTAGACATAGCACAAACAGCTGTAACAAAGATAATTAACAAAAAGTTGCCTGGCAATTTACTGATACTGATAAGTTTATAAAGCTTTTTATTGATACATACATAAGGAAAAGATGTGCATAATAAATGTGTGGCCCATTGAGTTTCAACAAACTAAACATACTTGTGAAAACAGCCCCCAGATTAAGAAACAAATCCCAGCATCCAAGGTGTCCTTCTTGTGTTTCCTTTCAGTAACTATCTCCCCTCAAGTGTAATCATTCTCCTGACTTCTCAAATCATAGATAGCTTTACTTGGATTTGTTTTGTTTTGTTTTGTTTTGTTGTTGTGGTTTTTTTGGTTTTTTTGGTACCAGGGATTGAACTCGGGTCCTTGCGCTTGCACAGCAGGCAACAAAACCACTGAGCTAAATCCCCGGCGCTTTACTTGTTTTTAAAATATATTTATAAGTGGAAAAAAGCTTAACTTGTTGTTTGTGAGAACCATTCATATTATTGGATGCAATTGTACTTTGTTCATTTTCATTACTGTACAGTATTATGTTATGTCAGTTTCCTTTTGTGTTTTCTGAGTTCCAAGCTATTTCAAGTACTACTACAAACATGGTGGTGTGTATTGTCAGGGAGAACAGATGTGTGCATCCTGTTTGTTGTATATATGTACACCTGGGAGTAGAATTGCTTTAGTAGATACAGATACTAGCAAATAGTTTTTTAAAGTTATGTGCCTGTTTATACTCCCACCAACAAATATGAAGGGTTTTCATGTTCTGCGTCCTCAGTTTTTTAAATATGTCTTTCTTTTTCACTATTCTGGTGTATCAGTAGTCTTTCTTTGTGATACTAATTTGTCTTTCCCTGGTGACTAATGAAGTCAAGCATCTTTTATGTGTTTTGGCTATTTGTGTATTCTATTTTCCAAACATCTGTTTTAAGTAATTTGTCTTTTTTTGTTGTTGTTACTGGTTTATAGGCTTTTTAGACATTATTGTGAGTATATATTATACTGTGGTTTCTTTCAGTGAATAAAAATTTTTTTAGTTAAAACAGTTCAGTTTATATATATACATTTTTAAATGAAGGAGTTCTTGTGTCCTGTTTAAGAAACAGTTTCTTACTCCAAGGTAATAAAGATATTTTCCTCTGCTGTGCTTCTGCTAAGTTTTGAATTGTGGATTTTATATTAGAATTTAGATGAGGTTTCTTAGTTTGTCTTGGACTCTGGCTTTAAATTGATCTGATTGGATGGTAATATCATTTGGTATAAGTAACATTGTAGTCATGCTCATGATTTATGCAGTGATAATAATGTTGACAGTTACTATCCACTTGACATTTGCCAGGCATTATGTAAATATCAATATTAAAATCTTCTCAACAAACCTCTGAGGTAAGTAGTAGTGTCCTCAGGGCCAGGGATTTAGCTGAGTGGTTCTGGCGCCTGCCTCACAAGTGCAAGGTCCCGAGTTCAATCCCCAGTACCAAAAAAAAACACAAAAAACCAAACAAACAAAGTAGTAGCATCCTCATCTCCCAGATGAGACAACTAGATCAAAGAAGGTTTGGAACTTGCTTATGATGGTAGAGTTCACACGTAATATTATTAAAGGCTTACCTTCAGCTTAAAAGGGAAAAAAGATAAATCTTATGAATTGCAAGAAACATAAAATTAATCTCCACCCTCTTCTGGTAGATCTTCATTAGGGTCCTACCAGGGAACAAGATTTCCTCAGGTGGTTGAAGAGCTTTAATAAAGGGACAATTACCCAGGTAGTTGTAAAGAATACAGAAGTTCTGATGGAATGCCCATAGACTGGCAATAATGGAAAGCCTTTATTGTGACTAGGACTGAAAATACAGATGGAAGAATTATTAAGGGTCTTGTGAGAGGTTGAATTGCAAAGGAGGGCCCCTGGTGGTAGCCATAGTTTAGGAGATAAAGCCACTGCAGAGATGTGGTATTGAAACAAGACAGGAAGGAGAAAATACCCTCACCTCTGACTCTGTCTGTGTTCCAGCTCAGCCTGAAGCCAGCAAGCAAGGAAGCCAGTCTGTAGTG